ACATTTTATACAGCTTACGAGTTCTAGATAGAACAGACTACACAGGCGATAGATAACATATTAGTGAATTAAACAAATCTACACACTGCTTTCAGTACACCCCTGACAAGTTCTGGCATGTTATTTGTCACTGCTTCAGATCACCTTTCACACTTATTGGGCTGCTGCATCCCCACAACTCTGCATCTCAGGCAACTCATTATTCCAATTCCAAGCTTCGTCTGCTTTGGTTCTCCTTGCAGTTCTAAGTATTGCCATGAATGTTTTTTTTTTTAAACAAACGAGGCATGATCATTAGTTATCGATAAATGTTGCCTGATTCTTAGTGCCAATGAGAAACAATTATCTTTCATTTTTACTAGCATCTCTAATTTCATTGTTACTATTATTGTATAGTTATTATTACAAGTAAAATTTACATGTTCTTGTCATCATCAGTATTAGTATATCCTAATCCTTCTATTTGCCATCCTCACACTACATGAATATTGTGTCTTGACTACTAAAACCTGTTGTTCGTAGGTTGTATAAACACTGGCTTGTCTCCTGAACAGTACTTACAGTTATTTAGAAAGAATAGTAGTAGCTCTTTTGCTCTGAGTTTTGATTTAGTGAGTGAGATTACTGATTCTTCCAGAACATCTCTGACAGAAGTGAAATCACAAATAAAATTTGCATAACAAAACCGAGAAGTGTCTCCGAAGTGTACACTTTCATCTCTGTGGACAGGGTGGATTTACAAAACAAATGCACCATTGTTATTACTGTTTGGTTAAAGACAGACAAGCTTGGGGTCTCTCCACAGAGCCCCAAACTGAACATTTTCAATTTTGGCAACAAGGTTTGAATTTCCACTGAGATGGATTACTGGCTCAGTGTTCAAGTCTAAGGTTTTATGTATCATGCTGTATCATGTTCTATGTGTCAAACATAGAAGATAGCCTCTTTTAATCAGCTAAATGTGTTTATTATTACAGAAACATCATCTCAAGTGAAAGTCCAAGTCAAAAGCACTTTACAAAAAATGTTGCCAGTCTAATATAATAAAAGCTACAATAGTAATATTCTATTCAAATTAATAATGAGAAGGATAAAAACAACATGTTTAAAATTCCCAATAGTTTACATTTAATGTGTAAACACTAACTCTCCAAAAGTTGATTCTGTTCATCTGAGCGTAGCGTTTTCAGTGGGAGAAACGTTTCATCACTCATCCAAGTGACTTCTTCAGTCTCAGCTGACTGCAGGTTTCCCCAATCCTATAAACAGAACATCACATCAAGAAGGCCCTGAGTAAATGTGGTTATCCCAGCTGGACTTTTGTCAAAGC